TGCATCCCCCCCCCCGCGCCGCGCCCGCGGGGGGAATGAATGAGCGGGCGCTGCGCGCGGCCACGCCCCCGCCGAGGAGCGACGGCGCCGACGGCCAATCGTAGCGCGCCCACCGCGGGCTCTCCGCCAATGGGCGTGCCGCGAGGGCGGGGCCCGCGGAGGCGCCGCGCGTCTCCACGCCAACGGTCCGGCATCCCCGCGGGGCGCCGCGGGCGAGGCCATGAGGGGCGCGGGGGGGAGCCGCGCCCCCGGCCCTTTCCCCGGCCCCGCGCGGCGGGAGAACGGGGCGGCGGCGAGGCGAAACCGAACGGGGTTTCCGTCCCGAGGGGACGGAGGGGTCGGCGCGGCTGGTGACGCGGGCTTCGGCGGGGCCGCCCCCCGATCACTCCCCCCCGCGGCGAGGATGGTACTTCCCGCCCGGCAGCGGCTGCAGCGGCCGGCCCGGTCCGCAGGGGGGCGCCATCCGCAGTCTCGGACCCTCAGGGATCCCACGGGATCGGGGGTGGGACCCCCGGGATCATCCCGGGAAGATGAGTGCGGGGATCCCTGGGATCATCCCCCCGCTGGGAGCGGGGATGCCATGGGGGCTGAGACCCCCCCACTCGATGCCCACTCGCTGGGTGCAGAAATCCCATGGGGGCTGGATTGCCAGGATCCCCCTGTTGGACGCCGGGATCCCCAGGATTCCCCTCGCTGGATGCAGAGACCCCGAGGGCCGCGGCTCTGCTCAGCCGGGCTGGGACCGGCCACAACTCGCTGCATTGTTCTTCTGCGGGCTGGCTCTTCCCTCTGCGGAGCAGGGGTGAAAAACAACGGGACTTCTCCCTTCCCCTCCCATCCCACAGGTTGAGGCGGTGTCCCCTCCTCGCTACGGCTCAGGCTAGGGGCAAAAACACGGGAGAAATCCGTTGTTAAAGGAAAAAATACACTCACGGCTGGGAAAACTAGAGGGCACCAGTGCCCTGGGCTGCGATTCCCAGAAACCAAATTCTAGTTTCCAGGGCGGATGCTTGTTCGGTTTATTTAATCAGAAACATTCCCGGAGTTGCCAGGAAAATGTTCCGGGACAGCATATCCTGCGGATTCCGATGTAATAACACAGTTCACGCACTCTTAACACCGTGAAGCCTGAGAGGGGGATTCCTCTAAGGGGGCGCAGCCGGAGCTTTCCAGGGATCCCAAATGGCATCCCCAAAAAGTGGCACCTCCTGGCATCAAGCCTGCATTTGTGGGAGATGGAGGTGGGCTTGGGGATCCAGCAGGATTTGAGGACTTCACAGGGACTGGGGACAGAGAAAGAGGGAGGGGTGGGAAAGAAGGGGATAGTAAAATGGGATATAGAAGGGGCCAAGGAAAAAAAAGGGGCAATGAAGGGGACAAAGAAAGGGCAAGAAGTGAGGGAAAAAAGAAAAGGGAAGGAAAGAAGAGGGTAAGGAAAGAAGCGGGAAAAGAAGGGACAAAACAGGGGGAGAGGGGTAAAAAGGGACAACACAGCTGGAAAAAAACAAACAAACACCCCCAAAACAAACAAACAAACAAAAAAAGCAGGAAAGAATTGGGTAGAAGATGAAGGGAGGATACGGGGCAAAGGAAAGGGACAGGAAAACAAGGGGGTAAAAGAGAAAGGAAAAGAAAAGGAAAAGGGAAAGAAAAAGGGAAAGAAAGAAAACGGTGTAGCCAAAAGGGGGCAAGGAACAGGTAAAGATGAAGACAAGGAAAGAAGCCAGGAAAGGGGTAAAGAGAGGGATAATGCAGGCAACAAGGAAAGCGGGCCCGGGGCTCTCCCCGCCGCGGAGGAGGAGTCTCCCCTGCCCTTACAGGGGCGTCCGGAGGGGCGGCCTCTTCCCGCTCCGTCCTAAATCTCTGAGAAACGAAACTACGGCTGCGCCCGCCCCCCGGTGCCTCCACCTCCCGAACCACCACCACGCGTTCCCCAGGTGTCGCCGCCGGTGTCCCCGAGCGCCAGGGATGCAGCAGCAGCTGCCGCCGTACGAGGTGCTGCCGGCGGAGGTGAACATGGAGGACCTGCCCCGGAGCACGACGGTGCTGATGGAGGAGCCGCCGCGGCCGCCCCGGGACCACCTGGTGTGGTCCCTCTTCACCACCCTGTACGGCAATTTCTGCTGCCTCGGTCTCCTGGCGTTCGTCTTCTCCGTCAAGGTGGGGAGCCCGGGGGAGGCACCGGGGGTGGGGAAGGCCCCGGGGACCCCACTGAGTCCCTCACCTTAGGGACATCCTTAGAGCCCACCGAGTCCCCAGCCCGGGATGCCCCATGGACCCCACGGAGTCCTCGTGGACCCCACTGAGCTCCCGGCCCCAGGGTGACCCATGGACCCCGCAGAGCCTCAGTTCAGGGGTGTCCCTTAGACCCCAAAAGCCTCAGACCAGAGGGTGCCCCATGGACCCCACAGAGTCCTGGTTGGAAGCTCTGGGGACCGCCGGGGTTTGGGGGTGAGGAGGGCAGCGGGCATCTCAGGGTATCCCCGGTGTTTTGGGGGGATTCAGCCCAGTCTGGCACCTCTCCCACCCTCCCACAGCCCCGAGCCCTCCGGGGTGCCCCGCTCCAGCGCCCCTGACTCTGCCTCTGCCTGCCCCCAGTCCAGGGACCGCAAAGTGCTGGGTGACTACAGCGGGGCGCTGAGCTACGGCTCCACAGCCAAGTGCCTGAACATCACGGCCCTGGTGATCAACATCATCATCGTCATCATCGTCGTCACCGTCGTCGCCGTGATGGTCGCCAAATCCATAAACACCCCACCCCAGTACGGGTACAACCCTTTCTCTGGCCACACTTAGCCCCTCCTTGCCCCGCGGGCTGTGCTTCCCTCCCCGGAGCCTGCCGGGAGTGCCCTCCGGTCACCAAAACTGCAAATTGACAATCCACGTGCCCCCACCCCGACCCTGCTGGTGTCCTGTCCCTCTTCTCTCCCCACTCGGAGCTTTTGTGGGGCCCTTGCTGATGGCTGCCCTCGCTGGGAGTGTCTGGAGCTGGACACCGCTCCCCAGAGAGGAGCTGAGCATCCCCAGCCCCGCTGTCGCCTGCTTGCTGCTCTGCTCTGGGTCTGGAGCCCCAGCTGCCTCAAAATAATTCTGAGGAGAAGCACCTGGTTCAGAGAAACCTGGTCCCTGAAATAAAGGTTTATTCCATTTTTGCCCCCTGAAATAAAGGTTTATTCTATTTTTGCCCCGTCTTGGTTTCGTATCATGGGGAAGTGGTTTGGGGTTTCCTCCACAGCAGCTCAGCCGGATGAGAAACATCAGCCCGTGGGATGTGCCTGGGGGAGGGGGAAACTGTCCCTCATCCCAGAGACAATGCTCAGGGGACACACCAAGCACCATGATAAGGATCATGCCAAGGGTGTGGCTGGAACCTGATCCTTGCCGGGGTGGCACGGGAGCAGCCCCATCATCACCGGCCCTCAGGAAGGGGTGGCAGCAAGCAGAGCTGAGGGCAAGCTGGCTTTGGTGGGGTGGGATGTGCAAAGGGCTTGAGCAGGATGAGCTGGAATGGGATTGTGTGAGTCAACAGGGCTGGAGAGGCTCCCAGAGCTAAGGGGCTGGTGTCTGCTGCAGCTCCATGCCTAATTGTCCCCCAGGTGTTGCCCGATCCGAAGAAAACACAAACAACCGAAGTTGTTTATGCGGTGCTTTATTGAGGGCCCGGGAGCCTGTGGACTAGCGTCCAAAGACAGAGCCCCGTTTCACAGAAAAATCACGGGTTTTTGTATGTTTTCTACACGATTTCTTCATCATCACAATTTCTTACTTCTCTTTCACTACCTGGTACGATTATCTCTCTGACATTTAAGTTTTGCCAAAAGGTACATTCCTAGATTATCTCCTAGTTACACTGCTTACATTGCAATATCTGCTATATAGTTCATCTGCAGGTTACATGTGGCCTACCAAGCCTTAGCATAACTACTACTAATGTCAACTAATGTTAACTATTAACGTTTGTTACTATCTTAATAATGCAGTTTATTGAACCAAATGGCAACACAGGGGCTGGATTCCACAGCTCCCTCCTGCAGCCAGGTGATTTGGGATCCTGCTATGGCTCACAACCCCCACCCCACTTGTCTGGAGCCTGGCTTTCCCGGGGACAGCTGCCCATCTGCCTGCAACAAGAAGCAGGGAATGAATTCCGTGTCTTGCTTCGCTGGCATGTGCAGCTTTTGCTTTCACTATTAAACTCATCCCAGCCCACCAGTTTCCTCACATTCATGTTCCAGCTTGTCTCCTCATCCCACAGGGGAGGGAAGTATGGCTGGAGGAAGTCACACCATGCACCAGCAATCCCTGTCACTCGGCTGGAAGGGCCGGCAGGGCAGTGATCCTCGTGCCTCTGGACTGCCACACGTGCCACTCCCGGCCCAGCTCCGGCAGAGTCCGGAGTGACCCTGGCAGGGACATGGAAAATCCTGGCTGCATCCCTTCTGGCAGAGCCTCAGCTATGCTGCTGGCCTGGTTTCCCCCTTCCCCTTCACACTCCTTGCCCTCAGCAGGCCTCGGTGCTCGGTGCTGGGGCCCTTCAAGGATGGGAACAAAACTCTGGTTTTCCCTCTCCCCACGAACATTGGGCTCCTGCCAAGACACCACTCTCGTAAGATGTTAGAAATCCCACTCACAAACACAGCGGATATTTGTTGCAGGATCCCTGGCACTGAGCCTCTGGTGAATCATTTTTTGCTCTGCTTTTTTCCTGGAAAACACAGGCTCCCCACTGCAAATGGGATCTGCTGCCTGCCCAGCCCTAGGCTTGGCCTGCCCAAACCCCAGCACATCCAATGGGAACTCAGGACAACAAATCGCTCCAAGATTCTCTCTTCCTCCTTCTCCCTGTTTTCATCAACAGTTTCCAACACAAATCCAAAGGGCAGCTTCACACAAGCCAACATGGAAAAAATTCACCCTTTCCCAGCCCAAACCAGTCACCAGCAAAGCCTCCCTCTCTCCCTCACACCTGTGACCACTCCAGGCTGCTGTGGACAGCTCCCCCCAGCCCATCTGTCACCAAAACTCGAGAAGAGAATAAAAACCCTCCAGCACAATGTTTGTAGTGACAGAAAACAAGGCATTACCTTGTTCTGGCCAGGACGTGCCATGGAAAACATTCTATCCACCTGTAGTCTCTGACCTGATGTTTCCAGTATCTATACAGACAAAAACCCCAAAGAAATTCTCATTCACTGGTCTTAAATTACACAATTCTTAGTATTTGATATCCTATCAGTCCTTGATCCCTTCATATTCGATGCTAATTTGGTCCTCATTTTTCAGTTCTCTCACCAACTGGGATCAATTTCCTGGCCCAATTGCCCTTAACCAAGCCAGGGAGGTGATGTTGGTTAATATTCGCTATTGGTCACTTATCTCCTCTGTATCTTCTGACTTCTCCCAGTCTGTGGATGTTCAGATCATCGGACCTCTCCCGGTGGACAGAATCTTTCAAGGAGAAACTTGAATTCCCCTCCCCCTGGGCAAAGGCGAACAAACCCCTGATTTAAGTTACATTAAAAAAAAAAACAAATTTGTATCATTTCCAACATCCCAAACACCCCCTCAAGTCCTCTCGGAGCCTCCCAAGTCCCCACAAGCCCCCCACTGGTCCCTAGAGCTGCCCTGCATCCCCAGACTGCGTGGGGTGGGGGTCCCGGGGGGCCGTGCCCCTCCTCCCTCTGCGGGGCGGTGCGGGGCTGCTCCCCCGTCTTGAGAGCGCTCCCTTCCCGTTCCAGGCGTTCATTCCCGATCATGGAGCCCAGGCAGGCGGACGTGTCCATCCCACTGCAGTCCTCCGGGTGGGGAGCGGCCGCCCCCGGCCCCCGGTCCGACCCGCAGCCCCGGGACTACGTGCTGTGGTCGTTGTTCAATGTGCTGCTGTGGTGCTTGCTGGGCGGGCTGGGCTGCCTCGGCTTCCCAGCTCTCGTCTTCTCCATCAAGGTGAGGGGGGGACCGGGGACCCCCGCCAGACACCCCAGATCTAGTCCTGATCGGCCCCGGGACCCCCACCCAGACTGAACCCCAGCCGGCCCCTGCCAGGACCCCCCGGCTGAGCCCGGCACGGGACCCCCGACATGTCCCGACTCCCTCCCCAACTCCGGACCTCCCATCCAGCCCCACCCGGGACCCCCCGACCCAGCCCGACTCGGACCTTTCCCTCACCCCGGGATCCCCCGTGCCCCCACCCCCCGCCCTCCCTGACACCACCCTGCTCTCCCCAGCTCCTCTCCCCGCCGCCTTCCCCACCTCCAAACCCCTCTCCCATCCCCGGATTCCCAGATCCGGTGTCCCATCCTGGACCCCCAGTCTGGTCTCCCATCCCCGACGCCACCCTACCCTGGGACCCCCAATGCTGTGTGCCCCCCGCCCCGAGCCTGCACCCCCGAGCGCCGGGACTGCGGGGCGCTGCCCGGTGCCCCACCCCGTGCCCTGGGTGACACGTTCCTGGGGTCCCAGCACAACCTCGCTGGGAACCTCTCCCCCCGCGGCTGGGTTGGCCCCCCAGGCAGTGCCACACACACACTGAGCCCCCCGTTTGCCCCCCCAGGCCCGTGACTGCAAGTTCCTGGGGGACCTGGAGGGTGCCCGGCGTCACAGCGACCGCGCCAGGGTGGCGAACATCATCTGCTCCGTGGTGGTCGTCGTCGTCTTGGTGATCTTCATCACTGCCTTCGTCATCATGGTTTCCACACTCAGGGCCACCTGACCACCGCCCGGCCCCATCCGCGGGGTGCTTCCCCCCCTCCTCCTGCCTCCAAAATGTGCCCGTGCGGGGCGGGGGGGCGGAGGGAGTGACCCCCGGTCCCCTCGCTGCCCACACCGCGTGTGTCCCCGCACAGCCGCGGGAGGGGACGTGGTGGCCAGGCTAGGGGCAGCCCCTCACCCCGCTTTGCTCGGCTCATGCGTTTCCCGGCTCTTGTGACACACCTGTCAGCGTTGCCACCAATAAAGTTCGTCCCGCCGAACCCCCTCGCTGTCACCTCAGTCACCGCTGGACGCCGCAGAGCCCTCGGGCATCTTTGTGGCGTCCTCCTCCTCCTCCTCCTCTTTCTCCTCCTCTTCCTCCTGCTCCTCTCCCTGCCGCGGAGCAGAGCTCTTCCAGCCCAAATCCCTGGGAAGTTTCTTCCGCACGTCTTGGGCATGGCAGAAAAAGGAAATCGAAGCCCCTCCGTGTGTTTTGGGCTGCCCACGCCCCCCACCCTGCAGCCCTGCCTCCCCGCCGCTGCCGGAGAGCCCCGTGGATGTGGCTCTTCCACCTTTCCCTATTAACTTCCCATTCCATCCATCCGGCAGCCCCAAAGTGCTGCCGAGGGAGGGGTCTGCCCTGCCCAGCACACCTGGAGGGCGGGGTTGGAGGTACCTGTGCCAGCCAGCGCCCTGGTGGTCCTGGGCTCCGCCTCGGAGTGACCCTCCTGCGGTGTCAGAGTCGCGCTTGGAGCCACCCGTGCTCCTCATCCCGCGAGGAAGGCTGGCTATTAAAAGCCATCCCAGCCTCTCTCCCAGCCCAGCCTGTGGGACAACCACATTCCTCAGGGCTGTAATTTCCCAGGTTTATATTTAGCAGAGCAGGGATATAAAAGGGGTGCCGGCCGCGCTCCTCCGAGGCTGCCGGAGCCGCGGGTGTCCCTCTCCGTGCCCATGGACACCTCGTACCCGCGGGAGGAGCGGCCGTCCCCCAAGCGGGGGCCACCCCCCGCCACCCCCGCGCCCCGCGACCACCTCATCTGGGCCATCTTCAACACCCTCTACATGAACTTCTGCTGCCTGGGCTTCGTGGCGCTCGCCTTCGCCGTCAAGGTACGGGACCGGCGGCACCGGAGCGCTCGGGGGCTCCGGGAATCCCTCCCCACGTGGATGCCAAGGGAGGGGTGCCCAAGGAGGCACCGAGCACTTGGGATAACTCCCGGGCGGGCTGCGGCGGGCAGATCCCAACAATCTCCATAGGCAGGTGACACCTGCCGCTGGTGAACCCTCCCTGCTTTTCCTGCCACGGATTCCGGAGGTTGTGGAACAGCCTTGGATAACCGCAGCCCCCTGCCCTCCACCCGAGGAGCAGCTGCCTGATCCTAAAAAGTTCCGTGGGGGCTGTGACACCTCCACCCCTCAGCAGGAGCAGCTCCAGCTCTGGAAAGATGGGGACAAGCAGGGTCCAGAGTGAGAGAGGCTCCAGAGGAAGCAGGAGGGAAAAATCCCGGCTCCAGCTGGACTAGACTGGGATAGAAAGATAGGGACAGGCAGCAGCTGGAGCCAGTGAGGCTCTGGATGAAGCAGGAAGGAAAACACAAGTGGGAAAGGATGTGGGGCTGGAGGGGAGCAGGAGCAGCCTGGGATGGATGGATGGATGGATGAATGGATGGATGGATGGATGGATGGATGGATGGATGGATGGATGGATGGATGGATGGACAAATTGTGGGTTGCAAGGGGCACAAAGCCCTGGAGCAGGATGGGCCTGCAGGAAGGGGGTGCAAGAGGGGGCTGAGGGAAGAGTCTCTCTTCCACTGTTGCAGGCTCGGGACCGGAAAGTGTCCGGGGACGTGGAAGCTGCTCGGCACTTCAGCTCCAAGGCACGGTGCTACAACGCCCTGGCCACGGCGGGCAGCGTGGTGCTGCCACTCCTGCTCGGTGCCCTCATTGTCACCGGTGTCATCCACCTCTCCAAGCTGGCCCAGGAGTCCGTCGGCTTCTTCACCTACCAGTTCAGCGCGAGCGACGATGAGGACCAGTGACCCGGGGTGAAGGGCTGGGGGAACCTCCTCTGCATCGCTGGTGGCCCCCCAAAAAGGCCACCACCCCTCTCTGCCACGCTGCTCCCCAACCCCACCGTGAGGGCACGGTTGTTTTTGTTTATCCTGTGGGTTTTTTTACCTCCCGTTATCCCGTGTGAAGCCCCAGATCCCGTGGTCACTATTTAAATCATTAAACACTTCACACAGCGTGAGTTTCTGTGTGTGGAAAGGGGCGGGGGTTGCCAAATGGAAAACATAAACAGGGATTTATGCTCCTGGCAGACAGGAGACACCGTCATTCCCACAGCCCTCAGGGCCACCTCTGGCCACCGGGACCCCCAGGACCAAGGAGGGGAGGAAGCAGAGACGCTCCTTGGGCCTCGTGGGGACAGGATGAAGCAAATGGGGTGTCCCCTCTGCACCCCAAAGGGGAGCTGAGACCTCCAAACTCATTACAGCAACACAGACATCCCCAGCCAGTCCCAGCCAGGACAGGTTGGGATGCACCCCCAGCGCTCCCTGCTCTCCCTGCCTGGGCTGGAGACAGCTCATTTTGGGGCTAAAGGACCCCTATTTTGAGGATAAACCCCTTTTTCTGCCAGCTACCCCTGGCTCAGACTGCGGCTGTGTCGCAGCCCCATCCAAATCCCGGTGCAGTGCACAGGGCTGGGGACAGCACGGTCCCTTTGTCGTGCCAAGAGCCTCTAATTAGGGGCTGGCGGCTCTGATGAGGCCGGAGCAGAACCCAAGTAATTACACGGCAGCGGGAGAGTCCCTGCTCCAGCCCTAAGCATTCCCAGATGCTTCGGGGCACGGAATAGCCGCGGGGCTTTTTATAAATCGGGCCGAGATTCCTGGGGTTGGTTTGGCCAGGACAGACCCCTCGGGGCAGGGAACGCCTTCGGCTTTCCCTGCTCCCACCCAGGGCTGCTCTGCACGGCCCCCAGGACGGGGAGGGTGTGGAGGGGAGGATGCTGTGCAGCCCAGAGTGAGGGGCTGAGGGTACCAAACCCACTCTGTGCAGGCACAGGAATTCCTTGGGATTTTCTGGGACATCAAAAACGCCCTGAAGCAAACCCACAGCAGCTCTCTGCTCGTCCCGAGGCTGCTCAGGCATGGAAAAATGCTGCCCTTGTCACCATCTGACAGGATAATAGTACAGATCACTGATGTCCAGACTTCCTGCAGCCCTTCAGACGCCAAATGAGAAAGGATTTAACTCTAGAACTGCTTGAAACAAGAAGGAATAATGTAGATGAGGGTTTAAAAACATGTGAGGGATGTTACACATCAAATAACAGGAAAGGAGCTGTGAGCTGCCCACACGGGGTTAAAAGGCTTTCAGCTGCATATTTTGGAGTAATGTTTACTGCCAAAATATCACTCATCTGGTGAAACAGCACTGGCTGAGCCTCCACAGCCCCTTGAGCCCACAGAGCAACACAGGGGGAAGGCGAGGACCAGGGCAGGACATGCTGGAGGAGCTGGAGTCAGGATCCTGGAGTCAGGAACAGGCTTCCTTACAAACACAAACATGCTGAGAGCACGAACAACTCCTGGATGTTTAACAAACACGTTTGAAATGGTCATTTTCAGGCTTGGTTTCCTCTTCTGTGCCAAGTAAGGGATGTGTGGAGGGGAGCGGGGGACTCAGACGTGGTGACAGCTCCAGCCACTGTCCCCCCTGGGCCACAAGGACAGGTAGCACACACAGTCCTGGGTGGGAAAAGGCCTCCTGGCACCCCCTCTCCACTCCTTCTCCCCCCTCCACCAACATCCCAGATCTGGGGCTCCAGCGGGCAACACCCGGATCAGCCAGAGTTTAGAGGGTCCTGCTGGGTGACCTCTGGATCCATCCAGGTGCTGTAGGGAAGGAGACACTCTGCCCTGCAACAGAAAAGCTTTGTGTGACATATGGGAATGCTTTCTTCCCAAATTATTTCAGGGAGCAGGTCTGGGCACTGCTGCCGTACCTTCCCACAGGGCAAAGCGCTGTCCCGACTCCAGCACAGCTTCCAGGGGGGATGCTGGAGGGTCCCGGGAGGTCTCAGTCACTTCCATCCTCATCTCCTCCCTGGTGATGGTGACCTCCAGTTTGTTGCCCAAGTAGGAGACGCTGGAGATTTTCAGCTTGGCAATATCGTCGGGAAAGGCGGGATCGAAGAGGAGGCCGGACCTTGTGATCCTGGAAAGGCAGGAGCACGTCAGGGTGGGAATAGCAGGAGCCACAGGGGAGCCCAGCCCGGGGGCAGGGAGCAGCCACCTCTCCAGGCATCACCGCCTCATGCACACCAGAGGAGCCTGAAAGGGTCCTCGGTGCATCCAAGGATCTCTGGGCAGATCCTGAACGCACTGATGGAGCACCTGGTGAGGAGCTACCGGGGCCATGATTCCACAGCCCACCCCAAGATGTTCCTGTCCCATTCCAGTACCACAGCTGGGGCCTGGGGTTTCCATAGGGTTAGATTTCGTATTAAAAAACACAACTCAACTCCCTGCTCCGGTTCAGAGCTTGGCTTCAGCAGCAGCTGTGCTGGAAAAACTTCGGGAATGCCCTGCTCCTCTCAGAGCAGGTGACCCTCAGACACCCACCTCAGCTCCCACTCCCATGGGATGGAAGGCTGGAAGCTCAGCACAGCTCTTCGTGCTCCTTCCCCAGAAACAATGGAGCAAACATCCCGGCTCTCCCTCCATCCCTGAGCCAAAGCCAAGCTGCCTGTGTGGGCGTTTGGGTGAGGGAAAACAACGGCCCCTCTTGTCCCCAACCCAAATCCTGGCACACGAGAGCTCTCCACCAGCAGCTCCAGAACACTGAGAGGGCTTGAGGGACTGGAGAGGGCCCAAGGGAGGCCTGGGGGCCTGGGGAGCCCCAGTGCTGCACAGGATCCGTGTCCTAGGGCGGGAAAGGCAGGAGCACGGCTGCACAATGTCATCGCCACCTCTGGAATCTGGCCAGAGCCCCAAAGCCGTGGCCTGAGCCTGTGCCACGAGGGACCTGACCTGGCACACACCGGGTGCCTGGAGACCTCCCAGCTTGGCCAAAGCCGAGATTTCCAGCTGGGAATACGGCAGCTCACGCCCAGCTCCGGCAAAGAACGGGGTGGGTTTCCCAGCGGCTCTGGCCACACACACAGAGTACAAACGCGTATTTAGGGCTGGAAGTTTTCACTGGGAATCAAAAAGCTTGGTCCAGCCTCAATTAAACCAGGAATAGGCTGGAAAGACGGCGGCTCCAGGGTGGAAACCACCACAGCTCTGAAATTACATGAACAGCTCCATGTTTTCCCAGGATATTTTAAAGCTGAGGCGATGCCTGCCCAGCACTTCCCTCCAGGGAGGATCCTGGAGCCACATGTGAGCAGGGAGGCCACAGTGAGGCTGCAGGAGGTGTTTCCTCACCACATCCAAAGGAGACAGGATGATCTTGCTGCCAAACCAGAGAAGAGGTTTAGGGAATGTCATTTTGCTGCCCAAGTGTGACCTGTAATGAGCCTCTTACCTGTTCCAAACTTTGTTCCAGCAAAACAGGGATATTTCAAGGGACAAGTGGTTGCTTGGGAGTTAAAAGTGACACAACAGGTCTCACCTGAACCCTGTGAAGCCAAAGAGGATGACCTGCAGGAATCCACCCATCCCTGTCAAGAAGTTCACGGCTCCCGACCCATCCGAGTTCTCCACCCAGACCTGCTCCAGCACGAGAATGAGATGACGCAGAAGTTGGTTTGGGATGCTCCAGGCAGCTCTGTGGGTTTCAATCCCATTATCACCTGCCTGGGAGCAGGAGGGATCTGCAGCCCCGCCACTCACTTTGAAAGGCTCCGTGATGTTGCTGAAGCACTTTTCCAGCTGGCTCCAGGCTCTCTGCAGCTCCTTCAGCTCCAGCCAGCCCACGGCAAACATGCTCTGCCGGAGAGGGAAAGGTGACAGCGCGGTCCAGCAGTGTCACCTCCGCCACCCCTCCGACCCAGAGTGAACATTTCCAGTGAACATCCCAGCTCTGCACTGTCCCCTGGACGGATGGAGACACAATCCCAGGCTGGGCTCTGCCCTCTCCTCACCCAGGTCATGGCTGGCCCGGCCGGGTCAGTGACGGGCTCGTACATCTCCAGGTCGTTCCTCCGGACCTCGGCACTCATGGGATGCATCAGTGGGAACCCCAGCAGGACCACATCTGCCTGTTTCACTGGCTCACCTGGGGACAGGGCTGGTCAGACGGGGAGCAGTCCCCAAATTTCCCAAGTTGTTGAGCCCATTGATGAAAAACAATCCAGTGAGGCAGGAAAACCACCCCAAGCCCAGCTTCTTGCACTGCTGCAACAGCAGGGACTCTTCTTTTGCCATTCCCAGGTCTGAAACGGTTGGAATTCTGATCTTTCCAGGATTAAAAGTGTGAGCCATGGCTGCTGCTGCTGCCTCTCCACTCACCTGGGCTGTAGCCATCGTACTCAGGGTGATATTTCCTCTCCTCATCAAAGGGCACTTTGATTTTCCTGGCACGGTCCTCCCACTCCTCTGGCACCGGGAGCAGCAGGTCCCGAGCCATGTCAGTGGCAAAATTTAAGCTGGAAAGAAGGAGGTACAAGGTTTTATGTCAGGGATGGGTGACAGTGAAAGGAGAGAGGGGACAGAAGGAGCTGCAGAAAAAGCTGCTGTGGAAGAACAAGGGGCAGAGATTGAGCTGGGGTAACAGCTTCCATCAGAGAGCTGGGAGCCCGTTCCCCTGGCTGTGGATGTCTCCAGCTGGCTAACAACATAGACACCGATGGAATGCCAAGGGAGAAGCCCTGCTGTGAATGGAGATCCCTCTCAGCCTCATGTGGACACTGAACAGGTTGGAGGAGCCAGGGGAGCCCCCACTCTTCCTCTGACTGCAGAGGGGTGACAGGGAGAGGGGTGTGAGGAGAGGGAGGAAGGATCCCCTCGGGAGCCCCACTGCTCCCGTCCCTGCAGAGTGCCAGGTGGAAGAGCAGACAGCCAGGCCGTGCTTCCAGGTGCTCCCAAGAGGCATTCCAAACGTTACCTGCGCCGGGCCACGGCATTGGTGTAAGCAGAGTTATCCACCTGGCTGTGGTACTCGTCTGGGGGCATGACACCTGGGGGGACAGGAGGGGACACCTCAGCACACCCAGGGGCCGCCGTGGCTCTGGGCCCCTCCTCAGGGACACGGCTGGAGGAAGGGGACCCTCCTGCCCATCCAGATCCTGCTGGCAGGATCCCACACAGTCCCAGTGGGATGCTCAGTGGTGATGCACGGTGCTCGGGATACAGCTCTGGCTGGTGCATGCAGGCACCTCATCCTGAGGGCATCCTGAAGGGGACCTTCAAGTCATGAAATCCCAGGGTGGTTTGGGTTGCCTTAAAGCTCATCCAGCTCCACACCCCTGCCATGGGCAGGGACACTTTCTGCTAGACCAGATGGCTCTGAACCTCTGCTTTCTGCCCCACTCCCATGGCAGAGGTACCTCTGATGTGGTAGAGCTGGTCCTCCTCACTCCACACCATCCTGCTGCACCAGTACTGAGCCACAGCCTCCACCAGCTCCCAGCCCCCGTCCTCCTGGAACAGCTTCTGGTCCTGGGGCAAAAACAGCGGTATGAGGGAGACTCCACCAGACTCGAAGTCAGCAGGAGGATGGAGAGGAGCTCTGAGGAAATGGAGGGAGCAGGACGAAAGACTGGCCTGGTTTGAGCCAACAGGATGTTGAGACGCCCACAGGAGCAAGGACAGAGAAGGCAGGGCTGCAGGAGGGAGCCTGCAGAGCAGAGAGAGCAGAGTTCCTCAGGGAAGGGACAGTGACAGTCTCCAGGTGTCCTGCCACCGGGCCATCGGGTGGAGCACCCTCCCTTTACCTGCGTGGTGCAGTAATACTGCTCAAAGGCCATCAGGACATCCCCGGAGACATGGATTTCCTGGGCTCCGTAGATCTCCTCAGGACACACTTCCCGGCCAGTGGCTGCGCTCTCCCACGGGAACTTCGCGCCCTGCCAGGAGAAGGCATTCCTGAGCACATCACCTTGTGCTGCGCCCCGCTGAAACAGCCCGGGATCCCCCTGGGGACAGGCGCTGGTGCCACCCCAGCCCGGGATCCCCCTGGGGACAGGCGCTGGTGCCACCCCAGCCCGGTGTCCCTGTCCCACCTCGTAGCCCTGTTCCCGCGCGTTGCGCCTGGCGCCCTCCAGCGTGCGGATCCGGTACTGCAGGATAGCGCGGGCAGCCTCGGGATACAGCAGCAGGATATTCGGGAACATCCAGGTGTCCTGCGGGGAGGGATCGGCTCAGGGGGAAGCATCTAAATGCTCCCGCCAGCTCCACCCTTCAAGTACACCCTCATCCCGATGGAAGGATGGAGTCTCCTCCACCCCACTCGCCGTGCCAGGCCCCCAGGTGAGCACGGCCCCCCTCACCTGGTCCCAGAAGACGTGTCCCCAGTAGTCCTCGCCGCGGGTGCCGTTGGACAAGCCGCCGGGGCTGATGCCGTGGAACAGGACCGCGGGGCTGTCCCGGGGCGGGATGGCGCTCAGCAGATAGTAGAGGCAGCCGTGGAGCGCCTGGCGCAGGGTCAGGGGCCCGTCCAGCTCCACGGAGCATCCCCGGCGCAGCGCGGCCCAGGCGCGGACGTGGGAGCGGTGCAGGGAACCCGCGGCCAGCAGGGACAGCCCCGAGCTGAAGCTGCGCTTCGCCTCCTCCTCGCTCCCGGCCACGGCCGTCAGGAACTCCCAGCGCCGCTCCCGCTCCTCCCCGTCCAGCGTCAGCGAGCGCGGGATGGGGGTCCACAGCATGTGGACAGTGGGACGGGGGCCCCCCTCCACCTCGGGAACCAGCGTCTGCCCGTAGATGTAGCTGCCGGAGACGGGAAGCGATTGAGGAAGGTGTTTCTTCCCAACGTGCCATCTTACCCTACCCTCCGGCAGTGGGAAGCCATCGCAAATGGGCTCCGGCCCCAGGAATCCGGTTCTAAAGGTCATCACCTCACTTCTGGAATCACATCTAGCCCCTGTCACCTTCACTGCTCTCACACATCAGTGTGAGGGATAATTCTGGAGTTGGAAGTAATAAAAATGTTTCTATGTTTAATTTCAGGGGATTTTTATAAACCTGCCAGGACAGAGCAGGTGTGCAAAAGCCTCCACACCCCTCACCATTTCAGCCCCACACCCCTCACCATTCCAGCCCCACACCCCTCACCATTCCAGCCCCGCTCCAGCCTTACATCTGCAGTTTACTCCTCAGGGGAGAACAGGGCACTGTGCCTCCGCCCATGGAGGGTGGGCTTAGGGCAGGGACCCCCATCCCCCACACTCACTGCGCCCCCTGGAAGTCTGGCCCTGGGGTCAAATCCAGGTCCTGGCTCTGTGGCACGAACAGGCTCTGGAGCTGGATGGTGATGGGATGTGTGGAGCCATCCGAGCGCCGGATGGTGATGCTGAAGGCCATCAGGTGCACCAGGGAGTGGTGGGCGTAGAGCTGGTGGGTGGCCGTGTATCCAGGGCACTGAATCGTATGGCTGAAGGTCCCTGTAAGCACAGCCAGAGCCACCGGCCTTTGGAAAGATTTGGATTGCTGCCTCTGGCCTATCCACCGCTTCCCACTGGCCAAGGAATTGCTTTTCCCAGGTCCAGATCCAGTTGTGGACTGGACAACGCCGCTGACAGCGAGCCTGGCCAGGCTGCTGAGGGATGGTCTGTGCCATCAAACATTTTACCAGGCTCCGTGATTAAAGACTGTCTGCCGAGCCTGGCCCCAGCTGGGATAGAGCTACAGCCCGAAAATCATTTATTCCCACACAAAAGGGGAATTTTCCGCTTGTTCCAGAGGAACAGCACTCCGAGGCGAACGGAGAATGAGGCGAAGGAAGATGTGACTGAGCAGAAGAGGCGGCAAAAGCAAAGAGAGCAGAAGCTCTGGCAGAGCCACCAGGGGAGGTGCCGGCTCCCTGCTCACCTGTCCAGGTGTTGAGGGTGAAGCTCTCGGCGGGGCTGCAGGCGCCGGGCGCTGCCATGCGCAGCCCCAGGGGGCTGGGGACATCGGCGCGGTGCGTGTCCCCCGCGGCCCCGCTGTACACCCCGGCGGCGTGCAGGATGTCCCGGAACACGCGGGTGCCCAGGAAGGTGTTGGTCACCGTGGGCAGCAGCCGCGGGTCCCCGGGCAGAGCCGTGGCCGTGAACACGCCCGGGTCGCCCTCGGCCATCGCCGCTGGCCACACCTGCGGGGCCGCGGGGACGGGATGAGGGCTGAGGGGACAAAGTGCTGGCCCGCTCCCCGTCACCCCCTGCCTGCCACCAGCGGTCTCTGCCCCTTTTAGTGTCCCCTCTGGTCACCTCCAGAGGTTTTCCCCCATCCCAGCTTCCTCCCAGCCCCGGGAGGGTTCCGGGAGTGCATCCCATCAGCTCCTTCACCTCATCTCCAGCTGTCCCAAATCCTGACAGCTCACGGGCTTCATCACTTCTCAGCCTCCTCCCTCTTCCTCTTCTGCTGCCGTTTCTCCCAACACACAAAGCCACCTTCCTTCCCCATCTGGCCTGCTCTTCCTCCCAGTGCTGTTCGTGACATTTTGAAAAGTTCCTGACACTTCCCCCTCTCTCTCCCAGCTCACTGCACCCCTCTGTTCCCCCTCACTCCCGCATCTCCAGCTCAGCTTCCTGGGGCAGAACCTTTCTATTGCACTGATTTATACATAAAACTGTTTATGTGTCACGTACAAACATATATATATATATAATTATAGACTAAAGATATGTACAGATACGGACAGGCGTAAGCAGCCCCTGACAAAAGGCAGCTGCAGCTGGCTCCTGGCAATGCCGGGCACAGGAAAAACACAGGAATGACGAAATGAGGCTGGGAGAGACTCTGAGCGGAGCTGGGAATGCAGCCAGGGTGACACAGGGGCAAGGAAGGTGCCCAGCCCCCAGATCCCTCCCTGACAGCAGCCGGATTGCAGGAACGCTCAGGCTCAGCTCGGTTTCCTCACTGAGACTGAACTGTGAGGAAAATCCTGCCTTCGGGAAAGTGAAAAATCCCTACCCAGCCCAAGCCCCGGGGTGCGGAAGGGAGGAGGTGGCTCTTGCCTTCTGTCCCGGGGCCGGTTCAGCCTGTGCAGGCGGAGAGCTGCTGCAGGGAAGGACGGAAGTTGCCGAACCGAGAAAGAAGGAAGGAAATCGCTTTTTTTCCGTCTCCTTAGAAAGAAATAGTTGGAAAAATGATCCTGGACAAGCAGCTGAGCTCAGTGCCCACGGAGGGAGCGCGGCAGTCCTGGGGCTGCCATGTGCCTGGCAAGGAGGAACTGAAAGAGGAAAACCACTTTGGATGATCTATGATCCCAAAGCTGCTGGCAGAGAGCCGGGTTAGCAGCACTCCCCACTGATCTCCCGTGTCCTCAGCCACGCTCTGACTCTTCCCCTCGCCTGTTTCCAGGGAGGACAAAAATTCCATCTGGACTTTAGCTTTGGTGTGCTTTTCCAAGCCCTTTCCAGCCGGTCCCATCCTGGTGGGTCAGGGATCCAGGGCTGGAGCTGCAGCCAGGTGCCACCAGCCTTTCCAAGCGGCCACAGGCCCCGGTGCTCACCAGGATTATTTTATTGCCCGATCCAGCACTTACAGGATTGGCATAACACATCTGTCCTCTGCTGTAAATCCATGGAAAAGCTCCTATGGAGCCTGGCAGGGTCAATCCTACAATTGCCAATACCCCAGGGATGCCCTGGGGACACCCTGACAAAGGGCAGAGCCCGACCAGTAACACTTGCTCTACTCCTTTGGTACTCCAGAGTCTAATCCCAACTATGCCCCAGCAGGATTCATTCCCCCTTTGGTTTGTTCTTCACAAGCAGCTGCTGATTCCAGCACAGGTTGAGTCCGTGACAAGGACAGGAATATCCATCCCCTGGAGAGCGGCTGAGCATCCACAGGGGTTCTGGGGCACTGGAGTCCCCCTAGAGCAGCCACTGGCACACAGGGATGAGCAGTTCCTTTCCCAGCAGATCCCAACTGGCACGCACCTCACTTCCTTCCCTTTATCACAGGAATTTGGAAATAGCCCTTTCCAGAAAGTCCTTTCTCACTGAATGGTGTTTTGAGTGTTAAAAAGTTTATAAAAGCCCACAGAAGACGAGGTCCAGGGAGAGAGGAGCCCTGCTCCAAAGAAAGAGTTTTGCTCTAAGGGAAAAGGCCCCTCCAAGAGGATGTCTTTGCTCTCCCCTAGAGTGTCTCAGTGTCCCCCTGTGCTGGCTGGGGACAGTTTTGGTCTCAGAGTCCTGCCCAGTACTGAGGGGAAAAAAAAAATCCCAAACCAATTAAGGGAAGAAAAATTAAGCAGAGAGCAATTTGGGAAAACCTGGCTGTGTCAGGCTGTTCCTCCCCGTGCCCCTGGAGCTGTGCCAAGGAGCGGCTGGGGGGTGGTGGCAGCAGTGACAGTGACAAGTAGGGCAGCTGCAGAGAGAGGAGCAGCGGGATCGCCCTGACAGCGCCATGAGGGGTTTCCAGAGGGGCTCCCAGCTCCTGGCAGCTGCACTTCGGATCAGCCGGGTCCCCCAGGCACAGCTCCGCTCCCACCCCCCTGAGCACCCACTCTCCGCCGGTGTGAGTATTCTGGGGGGCTGAAAAAGTGGGAACAGCCCAGTTGAAAGGGCCCAAACCCTCTGTGTCAGGGCCAAATTATTTTGGAAGGGGGTGGAAGCAAAAGGGGGGGGGGAGGAAAAGAAGGAATATGCCCTCAGGCTCCAGCCCACACCCCCATGGTGTCCATGCCCTGCTCCCCACCTCTGGCTCCTGCTTCTGTTTGGTTTTGTCCTTTCAGGCCTTGCTTTAACCTTTGGGGTTTGGGGGACCCCTGCAGCCCAGGGCAAGGGGCAGCAGGGACGCTGGTGGTCCCTCAGACACAGACCCTGTCCCCCTATCCTGGGACAGTCATTCCAAAGGGGGTGTCCCCACGGGCAAGGACAGGGTATGCTGTCAGCACAGAGCCCAAAGTCCCTCTGACGCTCCCCCTGTGGGGACCGTCCCCCCAAACCAGACCCTCCCAGGCTGGGTGAAACAAACTGGGAAAAAGGAGCTTTCCACCAAAATCCTGCCTGGTTCCCCCTCCGCCCCTTTTTTGGGGGTTTTCCCTCTGCTGCCTTTCCAGGGTCTTCAACAAAGGAGCTGCAGGTGCCTGGAGAGGCTTTTTTCAGGCAAATAAATCAAAGAAAGGCACCAGTGTGGGGGGTTAATGCTGTCCTGGTTGCACTGGGGAAACAAGGGGCTGCTGCCAGCTGCAATTCCCATCCCAAAGTCATCTGAAAGTCAGAACACTGCAGGCCGTGGCCACAGCCTCAAGGTCATGCACTGCTCCAGCGTCCCAGAGAAACAACAAACCTGGAGAGCACCAGCTGGATCCACTGCCACTGGGAACAGCTCTGCTCCCCAAACCTCCCTCCACAGCCCCAGGGTGGGTCCAAGGGACTGGGAAGAGCACAGGGAAGCGAGCTGGGCGTGTGGTGTTGGATGGCAGCATCCCGAGAGCCCCGTGTGCCATGGCTCTGGCGCTGCCATCCCACTGATTCCTGCTCCTTGTCTCCCTCAGGAACAAGCCATCGCCCTCGCCATGATGTTCTCGTCCTTCCTGCTGCCCACAGCCTGGGTCCTGGCCAACATATACAACTACAGGAGCAGGCCAGAGTGAGGAGTGGCAGGAGCAGCCTGCTCCCTGCTGAGAGAATCCCGAGGGAAGAGGCCTCGAGACAGAGCCTCGCTGGGATGGAACCCCCCGAGCCTGCTCATTAAAATCCACATTTGCATTCAACAATGGCTCCTTGGGTTTGCTCCATCCATGGGGGTGTCCGTAGGGAATGATCCAGATCTCTGCCCGCTGTCCTGATGGCAGGATTCCCTCAGGGGCCGGCAGCAGGTTCCAATGGGAAGCCACATTCCCTCGGGAGCCTCTGACACCTGCAGGGCTGGTGCACCCTGTCACCTCTCCTAGCACAAGCAAGGAAGCCATTCCAAGGTAAATTCCTGGCAGGAAAACAGTCAAAGGCTGGAAGTGACATTAAAAGGGTGCCACACCTGCCCACTACTCTCCTTGAAGGAAGGGCCTCTCCACTGACCACATCCCAAATTACCTGTGCCAGGGAAACAGCCAGCACAGGGAAGGTTTGGGTAGTGAGGGGTATATCCAGGTATCCTGGAAAAACCTCTGGAGCTGTCACAGTTCCGCAGATCTGACCCTCATTCCCAGGAGCAACTCAGAGCTTCACAGCCAGGAGAGCGCTCCCACAGCACGGGAACTGTCGGAATGCTCCTGGGAGAAGCTGTTACTGCTTCCCACAGTGACATTCCGGGTTTTGGATACTGATCTCAAGCCCCACAGGTCAATTACTCCAGTGGTTTCCTTTATTCCCTAAAGCGTAGTGACAGCCATGGGAGTGAGGGTGGGAGCTGACACGGCACAGGGAAGGAGACTGCTCCTTTAAGCCTTCTCCTGTACTCGGCTATGAAATAAAGGGAATATTTTCCTGATCACAGCATTTACTTCTTCCACGTGTTCTCCTGAAGTCAGCAAAAGTGGCACCAGGAATAAGCCCTGGAAGACAGGATGCAGCAGGAATTGGGAAAAGCAAACCCACTGGCTGGGCAGGGAAGAGGCAGGCACTGGGCACTGAAGAACCCCCATCCAGGAGGGAATTTCAGCCAGAAGGGCCTGGAGAGCATCAGGAGGGTGAGCAGGTAAAGATGCCAGCAATTCCACTTTGTCCTGTTTTCCGAAGTTTGTCTCCCTTGTGTGAGGTATCTCTGCACTCTGGGAGTCTGGCATCAGCCACATGCTCCCTTCCTTTCTCCTGCTGGATTTACACCCTCAGTCAAGACAGGAAAAATACAAAAATTCCAGCAGTGCCATTTACTAATGACACCAGAGAACCAAAGTGGTGAGGAAAGCTCCTGAATCCCAGCAGTGGCAAGGCCTGACCGTGGAAACACATTTTTAAAGGAATTAGCAGCAGCTCAGCTGCCAGGGATGGAGACAACACAGAATTCCCAAAAAGGGAAGGCAGAGACGTTTATTCCGCAATGCCACTGCACCTCACCTGAGCAGGAAGCGCTGGTGAAAGACAACCACCCCCTCAAGTGTATGGACACACCCACTAACCAGGAATCCCGGGAAAACCCTTGGATGGAGCAAACACTCCCTCTGCTGCAGATGAGGAGGGGTAGGGAGAAGCG